CAAATTCGACTGTTTAAATTCAACATTACATCCAGGAACTGCAGGAGAAGCAATAGATTGCAGATGGAAGATCGCCAGCTGCTCTAGCTTTCACCAGCAGGTGGAGATGGAATAATGTAAGATTTTTAACCCAGTAAACAGGCGAGAAAAAAAGCTAATAAAGGCACAAAAGTAGAATTTAATATTAATATCAATGCCTTGGACATTATAAATAATAAAAAGTATGTGTAAAATGAGTAAATGAGTTTTTAGTCATCTATATTTGCCCTTATGTAAGGGAAGCCAGCTGGTGATCGCGTAAATCTCACTCCTCGGATCCAGCGACAGACGCTGTTCTGCAATCTTTAGCATCCTCGGAGCATTTGACTCCCATGCCGGCTCGCTCCCTGCTCGGACCGGTGCGGTTACTTGCACATAAACGTCTTTTGATGAATATGATGATACACATTCTCTATCTTTATTAACTCATTCTTCCATAGACGTGAACTATTATATTGACAGCTAAAGAATATAAATGTAAGAGAAACAAGAGAGGAAATATTATAATAATAATACAAAATAATAAACATTGCCTGTCAGGGGGTCTGGGTGAGAGAGAAGATGGTTCAGACACAGATGCAGGTCTCAGCAAAGTTTATTGAAGCCCAAACACTCAGGGGGCAAAAAACTTGCCAACAAAAAAAATCTTCAAAAAGGAAACTTCCTTTTTTTTTTCAAAAAGGAATTCCTCCGTAATGGAGTTGGCAAAAAAACCCAAAGTTCACAAAAAACTCAAAACTGAGATGTAAAAAAATAAAGTCTTCAAAAAAGATTAAATAAAACTACTCCGGAGAGGCTAGAAGAACAGTCTTCAAGAGGGTGCAATACCCTGATACCCGACAGGGGGCGATGAATCCGGCCGCCGCTGACTGGGACAGAATGGCCACGAGGAAGACTGAGGCTTGGAAGCCGGCGAGAGAGAGAAAGGCCAATTTCACACTTCCGCATTCGTTACTTCCGGTTTTGACCGCCCCTGGGTAAACTTATTTCCGGTAAAAACAATGGCAGCGCAGTCGAGGAGCAAGGCGTTCTGCTGTGTACCAAAGTGCAGCAATTCAAAGCAAAGGCAAACAAACATGAGTGTAATGATGTAATCACAGCCGCGAGGTCACACGTGAGCTGTCGCACTTTGTTTACATCAGAAAAGGACGCGTTTGCGTGCAGTGAACAGAACCTGTAAATTCAGTGAATAACAGGCAATAGTTTTAAAATAATGCTCAGTTTGTTGCACAAGGCGACAACTTTGCTCCTTAATCAGGATATGATTTGCATGTATGTTTTGTTTCTCACAGTCGAGGCACATTACATGGTTTAACAGTGCCATAAAGATAAATTAAATTCATTAACCCTATAATTCATCAACTATACAGTTCTTAACTATAAATCAGCACTGATTTGATTTCAGCTTAATGAATGCGCAGTTTTAGAGCTGCTTTATAAATGTATTAAGGTGTTTGCAACTCTAAATTCACTATTTATTTTTGTAAAGGTTCTTTGGAAAAAAACATTGTATAAAGTGCTACAAAATTAAAAGTAACTTGAGTAGTTTAATGTTTTTACTTAGATTTTTTTATTCTTATCATTGATATTATTATTAAACCTTTGTAATTTGTCATTTTGTAGGTGCTTTGGATGAAGCCTTGGAATACATAGCAGAGCTGGAGGCTACGCTAAATAAAATTTCATTGGAGACACCAACTGTGTTCAGTAGGTTTGGTGTGTCTGATCACACAATTCGCTACTACACCAGGTTTCCCTCACAGGAAGTATTCCAGGTTTTCTGAGAGTCTGTTTGTCCATCTGCCACAAACCTTATGTACTGGACAAAAGCACAAAGAATGGGTCGGGAAGCTTCCCCTACACCAAGTCCTGCACGCAAAATTCAGCTCATAGATGAACTGTTCATGTACTGCTGCCGCGTAGCTGCTGGCCTTAGGGAGAGAGTAATTGCTGACATCTTTGGTGTAAGCATGGCCACAGTAAGCAGGACAGTCATCACCTGGGCAAATTATCTTTATTTTGTTTTAGGCTCTGTTCCCATTTGGATGTCAAGGGAACAAATAAGTTCTTCCATGCCTGAGAAGTATAGATTATTCAGTCCAAATGTCAGAGTAATCCTGGACTGTACAGAAATTTTCTGTGAGAATCCCACATCTCTGACACTCCACTCAGAGATATTCTCTAACTACAAGAGCACAACAACATTTAAAGGACTCTTGGGAGTGGCTCCATGTGGTGCAGTAACATTCATCTCTCGTCTGTACACTGGCTCAATCTTTGACAAAGAGATTACAAGGAGGTCTGGCATCTTGAGTCTACTTGAACCTGGAGATGAGGTGATGGCTGACAAAGGCTTTACAATTGGGGACATGATCACCAATGTTGGTGCTACACTAATAATTCCACCGTTCAAGCGTGACCGGCAGTTCAGCAAGACAGACTGTCAAAAAACACAAACCATTGCACGGCTCAGAATTCTGGTGGAAAGAGTAATACGACGAGTTAAAGAAAACCACATCTTCGATTCTGCTGTACCACTAAGCTTGTCAGGAACAATTGACCAGATCTGGCATAATTGCTGCTTCATCGTAAATTACCAGGGACCAATGTTTTTGGAGCATTAAATGAGCCACATTTCTGCATCTTCTGTGGCCTTTACCTTGAAGCCAGATTGTCTGGCTAGCGAGTTAATTTTCAGTTTAGTTTCAGTTTAACTATCCTGAAATGTGTAAAATAGTTGAAATCAAACCCATCGGAGTAATCCATATACAAAGAACGGAAACCATGACAACCACATAAAATTAACTCAGTGTTTGTTTAGATACATTTGAAGGATTCTGTGCTGATTTGTTATTATTAAAATAGTTACAAGTTAATGTAATTGTATGATTTCCTCTTAACTTTTACAAAAAATATTACAATGTGTTTCCCTCTCTGTGCTCAGAGGCAGATTTGTTACTTTTATCAAGCAAAAATGAGCAGTCTCCTGAAAATAACAAGGACAGTTTGAATAAACTTTTTTTTTTAATAATTGCTATTGGTCAAAATAAACATATCATACAGTTGTTCTGTTGTCCAGTTGTTATTTGACACATTTTATTGTTAGTTTCAGATATAATACAGAATTGTAAATCTAAACTGATACAACATGAAATTTTACAATTATAATAGTAGTTTAAAAATAAACAAAGTTGTAAACAATATAAAATTAATTACTATACATATATACATACTGTGGTAGCAATTTTAAAGGGTTAGCTCACAAGTGCAAGTATCAAGGTGAGTAATTAATATTATACATTTTGTGTGAATTAACCCTTTACTACAGCAATGCTTAAACCATAGATAGATACTTGTCCATATATACATAATAGTAATACATGTCCAACTTCTCCTTCATTGATGTTATAAAGACATCATCTCGCCAAATCCTCTGGATGGTTATGTCTGACTGTGTGTCAGTCACAAAGTCACACCACTGCAGACCAGTTACGGCAAGCTGGCCTTGAACCTGCCAATAGTATTTGTGTGTTTCTTTGAGTTTGGCTTGGCCCTTTTGCATTTTAATAAATGAAGCCTGGCCTATACTTTCAGCAGATGTAGCTTTTACTTCCACTAGACCAAATGGGAAGATTTCAGATGGATCATATACTCTCCCATCTGGACTGGCACCTAGATGTGGTGCATCTGGGTGAACAACAAAGCCACAAGGTAAAACCGTAACCCTCTTTGTTTCAGAATATTGTTTCAAAATTTCTGGTTCAAGTTCAAGTCCACGTTTCATAGCACTTGTCTGCTTTGTGGCTTTTAGTATACGTGCTGCTAATGACTGGCTAGCAGATTCACCAACCACATAGCAGACTTCTCTAAACCTGCTTGCGGTGACTCTTGGTTGACGCGCATGTGCCCAGGCAGCACAATTTGTCTGTAGTCGAGTATTGTGCTCAATCTGACCGGATAAGATGTGTGACACTTGTATTGACTGCAAATGAAAAGATTGGTGGTGAGTGGGAACAAAATTTAGGTTTGTACTAAACTGACTGCCACACACTGGCAGGTTGGGGAAATCAACTGTAGGTTGATCAGCAGCTGTGAGAGGATAGTGATACGAAAGAGGACTGCCCCGGGGTAATGGACCAAACTGGGAGCTGACCAACTCCATTTCTGACATGCCTCCAAGTATATGAGCCAACAAAGGTTTTGGGTCAATCTGGTTTAGTTTTGCTCCAGAAGCCAGGATGTGTGGATCTGGAAGTGGACCTAAAGAAATAAATGCTTGTTAGTGTTAACATAACATATGAAACAAAAAATTACTAAATGGAGTCTGTCAGTGTGTATGTAACTTTATGATGAAATACATCTGTCAGCCTCTCTTTGTTCTTTTTGTAAATAATGTATGTGAATCTATATTTAGATGTGTGTCTGTACATTTCTATGTGTGGGTATGTCTTCTGTATGTATATATAGGATGTTTGTATATTGATATACATGTATGTGTTTCTGTTTATCAAGAGTATGAATACATTTTGCATACACACAGTTTATTATTACCTGTGTGAGTTTTGTACAGTGTAGACTTTACTCCTGTCTTCCCCAAAGAACATGGTTTCTGAACTACAAGTTGACTCACTGCCTCTGGACTGACACCCTTAATATAAACAAAAAATGTGTCAACCAGGAATATTTGCAAATGCTGAAAAACGGGAAACATTACACTTACCTGTGTCCTTGGACGATGCCATCTCTGTTGTTCACTTGTGCAAGTCACTGTTGGTGGGACAGATTTTAGATGAAGCTGCACATAGTGGGCTGTTTGATACAACAGAGCTGTTAGATGGTTACATAACCCTTTGCCAGCTGCACAACTACATGCATAAGCAGTGACACTAGGCTCTCCATGAGACTCCAAAAACATCTGTTGTAGATGCCCTTTGGTTTCCATGAACGAGACAGAGAGTTTCTGACGGGTGCTTGATTCTTTATTATGCTCAAGACGAGAGCCATTAAACTTTCGTTGCGTAGCACCGTGAAACTACACAAAGAAACAACAAAAATCAATAAAAACAACTTGTATACAGAATAATACGACAAATAAAGATATAATGTACAGAGCGACATATGAAAGTGAAACAATGAAGTATATAACGACAGTTTGAAACAACTAATAAGAAGGCAGAGCTCACGATTAACATATACATACAAATGAACTCATGTGGCTTAAATATTAACTTTACATACCTCGCTCCGCTTTCCCAAAGGGTTCTATTAAATAAATTGTGCAGGATTAAGCCTCCTTTTTTCCATAAATCGCACAGCAACGTGTCTTCTCTTCGCTCCTGCTAGCCTGATTAACCTATTAGTCACCTAGGCTACCGAAACACGTGACATGCTCTGATGCTCTAAAATTATTTAAAGGCATATAATGATTTAGTGGTCACTTACACTCCCACCAATCATTTTATGATGAATTGAAAGAACAAACTGAAATTAATCAGAACATGATTTTGAACTATAACATGACCACTTTTACTTTTCATGACTATCAAGTATTTCAGAAATAATTATTTGGTCTGATGAGAGTGTATCATCCCAGTTACTAACAGTCAGTCTTCTTCAAGAAGTACAACTAATTTCTGAATCGGTCTTTCAATGATTGAGAGCTTGGGGGTCTGATTACGTTTGTTAGTGAGCTTTCGTTCTGCTACTCGTACCTTTACTCATCTCACAAATCCATCACTCTCTTTGACAGTTTCAACCACTCTGCCCAACTGCCATTGACTTCTTGGGAGCATATCCTCTTTGATTATTACAACATCATTTACTCTGAGGTTTCTGCGAGGAGTGTGCCACTTTTGGCGTGTTGAAATGTTAAGCAAGTATTCCTTCTTCCAGCGACTCCAAAATTGCTCAACCAAGTATTGGACTCTTCGCCATCTTTTCGTAGCATACATGTCTTCTTTAACAAATTTTCCTGGAGGTGGAAGTGCAACATCAGACTTCATAAGTATTAGGTGGTTTGGAGTTAGAGGCTCTAGTGAATTTGGATCATTAATGCCATCTACTGTAAGCGGGCGACTGTTAACTATGGCCATTGCCTCATAGAACAATGTTCTAAGTGAAGCATCGTCAAGTCTACCAGGACACAGTGCAATTGTGACATTAAGTACACTGCGCACAGTTCGTATTTGTCGTTCCCAGACACCTTCAGTGTGACTTGCAGAAGGAGCATTAAAGGCAAACTCACATTGTTTCTCTGCGAGAAAGACTTCCAGAGTTTTGATGTCGACTTGTTTCAGGCAATCTTTGAATTCGTTCCTGGCCCCGACAAAGTTTGTACCTTGATCACAATAAAGTTTGCAAACTGCTCCTCTGAGGCTTATAAAGCATCTCAATGCATTGATGAAGGCATCTGTGGACAAATCTTCAATCATTTCAATATGAACTGCGCGAGATGACAAACAAGTGAATATTAGACCGTATCGCTTGTATTCTTTGCGAGCTCTCTTCACGACAAATGGCCCAAAACAGTCCATGCCACAAAATGTAAAGGGAGCAGATACTTCGACACGCTCCTTGGTAAGTTCGGCCATTCGTTGTTCTTCTGTCGGTCGTCTAAGTCTTCGACACTGCACACACTTGTGTATCAGCTTAGCAACTGATTTGCTACCTCCAATGACCCAGAATCCATTCATTCTAAGCTGCATTTGAGTTTGAGTTCGACCCTGATGGCAAATTTTGGCATGATAATGTGACAGAATTAGCTTGGTGATGTAACTATCCCTTGGTAGAATCACAGGATGTTTGAGGTCTTGACTGAGTGATGACTTCTTCAATCTTCCCCCTACCCGAAGAAGACCTTTGTCCAAAACAGGATCCAGTTGATACAACGCACTAGAATTTGGAAGAGCAATCCCATTTTCAATCATTCTCATTTCTTTGGAAAATGCTTCCTGCTGCATGAGCTTGATCACCACTTCAGCAGCTCTCTGACGCTCCTCAACAGTTATATGGTCAGTGGAGCATTTCTGTTTCAATCCAAGTCTTTTTATCCTTGCCACAACCTTCAGAAGCATTGACCAGCAAGAAAATCGTCTGAAACGACTTAAAACTTCGGAACTGTCACTAACTGTGGTCACAAATGTTTGGACTGGTTTAACTTCGGGGTCACCAACAAGCAAATTGGCAGAGGTATGTGGTGTTGGATTCACTTCTTGTTCCTACAGAAATTTGGGACCTCTTAACCAGGTTGAAGTAGCAATGTCAGAGGCATGAAACCCTCGAGAAGCATGATCAGCCGGGTTCTCTAAGGTATTAATATAGTACCACAGGCTTGGATCTGTAATGTCCCTTATGAGTTGCACACGGTTAGCAACGAATACATGAAACCGTCTTGCTTCGTTATTAATATAAGCCAAAACAACCTGTGAATCTGTCCAAAAGAATTCTCTGTCAATCTTCATTTCAAGCTCTGTCTTTAGCATGACACTTATCTTTGCAGATAGAACAGCCGCCGCAAGTTCCAGTCTTGGTATACTTGTGACTTTTGTAGGTGCGACTCTAGCCTTTGCCATTACCAAACTGCAGTGCACTTTACCTTTGTCATTTTTGAAACGAAGATAAGAGCAAGCTCCATATCCAATGTTGCTCGCATCGGAGAAGTGGTGCAGCTCCGTTTCAATGATCTCATTGAAGGTGTCAGGGTGATAACATCTTGGTATGACAACTTCTTTAAGCCTTTGAAGTCCACCTTTCCAATCCTCCCACCGTGAATACATGTCTTCTGGTAGCTGATCATCCCATCCAATGTTTTTCCGACATAGTTCCTGCAGGATGCACTTTCCCTGAAGAATAAAGGGTGCCACAAACCCAATTGGGTCGAACAGGGAACTAATGACAGACAAGATTCCACGGCGGGTCGATGGCTGATCTTTATAGTTGATGTTGAATTGAAAATTGTCATCCCTTGTTGACCACTGAACACCAAGTACACGTCCTGTTGGTGTTGCTTCAGGGTTTAAATTGAGAGGTTTAGAGACAATATCCCTTTCAGATGGGTCTATGCAGCAGAGAACATTTTCCTTATTGGAGCTGAATTTATGAAGCCGTAAACCTCCTTGTTTACAGAGTGCTTGAGCATCAGTAATTAGTTCCTTGGCTTCATCAATTGAACGAACACTGGCTAGCCCATCGTCTACATAGAAGTTTCTTTTAACAAACTCTGAAGCTGTTGGGTGTTTAACTTCGTACTGCTGTGCCAGGTACTTCAAACCGAAATTGGCACACCCAGGAGACGATGTAGCGCCAAAGAGATGGACTGTCATGCGATAGTCTTGAGGCTCTTTCTCCCAGTCTCCATCCTCCCACCATAAGAACCTCAGATAATTACGTTCGTCTGGAGGAACAAGGAACTGGTGAAACATCTTTTCTATATCACAGGTGACTGCGACTAGCTCCTTTCTGAAGCGGCAGAGTACTCCAACTAATGAATTTATTAGATCAGGCCCAGTCAACAGAGTGTCGTTTAGAGATATACCACTAAACTTAGCTGAACAGTCGAACACAACCCTCAGCTTACCTGGTTTCTGAGGGTGGTATACTCCGTGGTGTGGAATATACCATACAGTCTCTCCTTCTGATATCTCAGGGGCTAGTTCAGCATCACCTTTGTCAACGACTTCCTTCATGAAGACTTTGTAGTCATCCGAATATTGCTTGTTAGATTTGAGCTTTTTCTTCAATTGCTGCAGCCGGGCAACTGCCAGCCTTCTATTATTTGGCAGTGATGGTTGGCTGATACTCTTGAAAGGGAGGGGAAGTTCATAATGTCCATTATCCTTCTGTTTGATGTTGGTACTGAGATGTTGAATGAAACGAACATCCTCTTGAGACACACTTTTATCCTCATAACCTTTCTCATTGAAATCTGACTCAAGAATTTTCAAGACATCATTGGGTGATGGAACAAATATCTCCTTGACTGCAACTCTGTGGACAAAGCTCTGATTTCCCTGCCTGTCTAGGTGTGGATTAGAGAGACCTATAATGCTCCAACCAAGTTCAGTTCTTTGTGCGAATGGTTCATTTTCATGACCAATTATGACTTCAAGGGGAGCTAGAGCTGAAGGGCAGTCATATCCGATTAATAATCCGACTTCGCAGTTCTGCAGTGGTGGCAATTGATTGGCCAGATGTTTTAGGTGAGGCCACTCCAGTGCTGTGCTCTTCGTTGGGATATAGGACTTATCAACAGGAATGAAGTCTCTTGTATATGCTTGCCGTAACTGAATGGAGTTTGCTGCTTGGAGTCCTCTAACTTGCAGACCGCAAACCCTGTTACTTGCCGTTATAGTATCCACAGCTGTCATAGTGCTTAATCTAAGTTGAACTGGTTGCTTGACTGCATTTAGATCATCAAGAAGATCTTCCAAAATGAATGTTGAGTCACTCTGCGTGTCCAGTAGCGCATAAGTGAGTACTTCCCTTTGAGGCTCTTCCACTGTTGAAATAAGGACTGGCACAATACTGGAAGTAGCAGAAGAGCTTTGTGTGAGTGCATGGGCCATAACTTTCTGAACTTCCTGACTTGCTTGTACTTCTGTTGAAGTTTTATTTAATGGTTTTGGAGACACCATATGTCTTTCTTCATGTAAGCATGTGGGGTGATTGCGGCCACATGTTCCACACTTATGTCGTCTTCTGCATTTTTTTACAATGTGCCCTTTCCTGAGACACCCATAACAGAGCTGATTTTCTTGAATGAAGTTCTTCTTGTCTTCAATGGTTTTTTCTCCAAATGCAGAACATTGGACAATGCTGTGGTTTTCATCTTTACAGACAATGCATGATACTTTTGACTTTACGCTAGATGTATTAAGCCCTTTAGAACTGAACTCTTTCACGTCAGTCTTTGTACTGAGCGCCTTAGCTCGCTTGGGGAACTTTTCATCTGAATTTTTCATATTCATGAATGGGGAAGTAATGGGGTTACAAGCTATTCTAGTTTCCTTTTGCAAGAACTCTGTAAAACACTTGAAACTTGGATAGTCCCCTGATGCATCTAATTCTTCCGTCACAATTCGATTCCACTTGTGTACAACCCATTCAGGAAGTTTCTTTAGTAGCTTGTAGTTTTCTTCACAGTCATTTAGAATAGATAATCCCTTAATGTGTGGCATTGCCTCAGCACATCCTTGCAGGAAATCTGTGAAGTCTCGCAGTGCAAGTGGGTCATTTATCCCAATTTTGGGCCACCTCATCAGCTTGTCTCTAAAGGCTTTTTGTAGTATGAATGAATTCCCATATCTATCTTGCAGGACCTTCCATGCTCCATGGTATGCATCCTCTGAATTTCTATAGAAATATCCCTCCACAGCCTTACGAGCTTCTCCAACAAGGTACTTTTTAAGATAGAACATCTTCTCACCAGGTGGGAGGGGCTTTCTTTCTATAAGAGCTATGAAGGACATCTTCCAATCTATGAATTTCAATGGATCACCAGCGAAGATCATGGGTTCAGGCACAGGCAGTCGATGTGTGCTTAGTGAGTCTGCTATTGCTTGAGCTAAAGAAACATTATTCTGAGATGGCTGGGCTTCATGCTCTGCCTTGAATGTTTGCTGAGGCAAGAACAATTCAGCTTCTGGGTTTAACTGAAATCTGTGAATGCTAGAATCTATTTCTTTATCACCACATTGACTGATCCCTTCAAGATCATTGTACACTTTCACACGAGCTGCTGCTACTTTTACTTCCTTGTCTACTTGCAACTGATGCAGCCGTTTTCTTTCTTCTTCAAGCTTTAGCTGCATTTCTACCTCTCTTTGCTTTATTTCTGCTAGCATTTTAGCTTCAGAAAGCTTCCATTCACTCTCCATTTTATTAAGCTTTGCTTGTTGATCATGGATTTCCTGCATAGCTTTAGCTTGCTCTTGTTTTGCTGCAAGTTCAGCTTCTGCTTCAGCTCGCTTACTTGATATCTTGGAAGAGGTCTTCGACTGATTACCTGATCCTAGCGATGACTCTGACATCACTGTGTTTGTTTTTGTGCATCCAAAGATTGATCCATATTCATCTTTATTTAAGACTTGTCTCACTCTTTCCTTCACAAGCTCTTCATTGTAATCTTCACCTATTGTCTCCAGCCGCTTACTTACAAGATCAA